GATCCTTAGGACTTAGAATGTTAGAGCTATGTGGGATGCATGGGGACATGGAATGTTGGATTTGGAAGGGACCTCAGAACATAGAATCTTAGAGGTTCACAGGATACATTGGGAACATAGAATGTTGTAGCTGGGAGGATCCTTAGGACTTAGAATTTTAGAGTTATGTGGGATAAATGGGAACATAGAATGTTGGAGCTAGAAGGGACCTTGAAACACCAAATATTAGAATATGGAATTTCAAATATTAGAACAGGAATGGAACTTAGAGGAAATATACATATACATACACACATACACACACACACACATATTTTTAGCTCCTCGTTTTATAGATGAGGAAGTAGAGGCCCAGAGAGAAGAGACCCATCTGAGGTCCCAGAGGTAGTTAGTTGGTGGCAGAGTTGGGTTCTAGGACCCTGGTATCCTGACTCTTGGTACAGTGTTCTTTTCCTGGGGCTGACTAGCACTTCCTCCTAAAGACACATTGTAGGCATTATATAAATGCTTATTTCCTTCCCTCTTAGCATTCTAGCATCTTCTGTGCCCAACAGTAATCAATCACTCTCTCCAAGGAGCTATGTAGTATACTGAACAAATATACTATATTCTAACATAACTAATATTGATAATTCTAATATGCCATATAGTATATTCCAATATAGCTGAACATGGCATATTCTAAATCTGAGAATAAGATCATTATGGATCGAGGGGTGCTGCTGGTAACTGCTAGGGAGGGTAGAGTGAGGCCGTGGGTTACAGAACCCTTCAACTACATGGAAATTTGAGAGAAAATGACCTGCCTACAGGCTGATGGCTATTTGTTCCAGATCATTACTGGTGGGGCTCTGTAGAGCCCTTGAGTGACATTGGAAAACCTCAGGTATGGGCAAAAGAGAAGGCAAAAAAAGGGAAAAAATAAGTGGGATAAGAGAGGGGAAAATTAGAGGGAAGAGGAAAATCCACCCAGTTGCCTACTGAAAGATGAAAGCTGCCTGTTAAAAGCCATATTGTTTAGGGGAAAGAAGATTGAACTTGTAGTCAGACCTGGGTTTAACCCCAATCTCTGTTGCCTGCTGACTCTGGGACCTTTCTGAGACTTACTTTCCTTATCTGAAAAAAAAAAGTGATGATATGAAAAAAAATAAAAAAGGTGA